AAAACTTTCTCCCAGAAATGACACCTCTTCATTAGACAGATCAAATTTCATGACCACAACTATGTGGTGAATGGGGAAGTGCAGTTCTACCACGTGCCTGTAGGGGGCAAGGAGCATTATTAAAAGTGACATGATCTCTCTGTTATAGTTCTGTTATCATTGAGCTTAATAATCGGTAAAAGTTTTTTTGTTCATATGTAAATTCTGATCATCAGAAAATTTGCATTTTTAGTTCTCAGGTTTTTTACGCTTGGCACCTCTATTCTCACTTTTCTATTGATCTTCCTGTTCCCATACACCTGCCCAGTCTTACAGGCTCCTACTTCATTCCTTTTAAATTTGTTTCCATTAACATTTTTCAAATTTTATTAATACCTTTTATTTGTATTTTAGGGAGATTAGCCCTTTGCTGCCTTAGTGTTGGTGTACATAACGTTATTTATGTTGTGTAATCCTCTCAAAACCACATGAAGTATAGATTCTGTTATTCTGACTTTACAGTTATGAAATCTCAGGGTTAATTGGGTAGTATGCTCAAGGTCATGCAGCTGACAGTGAGTGCATAGAATCTGTAAGCTGGAACTGTAGGACAGCAATGGCAGGAAGCCTGGGAATTTTTCTTACACAGAGATAGGCTTATAAGTGTTGGGGAACTTTGGGCCCTTGGAGCTAAGGATTAATGTATTGGTGTCCATTCCATACCTTTGTCTTTCCTGGCCTGTTCCATCTCTCCTTCCTGACTTTCTTTTCCGTTTCTGACAGTGGCATTACTCACTATGCTTCTATTTTCTTCACTTTGGCTCAGTTTACTTCAAATCATTATACTTAAGTCCGAGCAGATGTTCAACATGTTAGTGGTTCTCTTTAGATAAAGGGATCTCAGGTTATTTTAAATTTGTTCTCTGTATTATCTTATTTATTTTTTGCAATGAGCATCTACTAATGAGAACGATATGAAAAGAATAGCAAAGGTATTTTCATTTGGGAAAAAAATCATTATGCTTGGTAGTTTTCATTCCACATATAAACCTTTCACTCTAAAATTTCGGAATCTTATAACTTGCTATCTGCTATTCCAGAGTTCTTTGGCCTCAGTTTCATAGCCCCCTTCCCCTCAATGAATGATTTTAAGTTCATTCCCCAGAAGGCAATGCTATATATACCATCTCTGTTTTAGAGCTGGCATTCATTTCTTTAGCAAAGATGTTTAGTTTTCTTTGCCAGGTTGTTTTTAAACAACAATAGCTCAGGTGGTCACATCCTGCAAATATTTTTAAATGCTTTGAGTCTAAATAGTCTACTTGCTGTGTTTGTGGTGGCATAATGGGAAATAGTAGGGATCCTGCTTCTTTTCCAACCCCCTAGCTGATAAATTTCCTTTTCAAATTGCCCAGTAGGTGGTTGACAAGAAGTGAATTTATTTACCGTTTCAGAGCCTTTGAAAAGTTCATATTTTTCAGCTTGCCTTTTCACTATTTAGTGACCTGGTTTATGCTCTTTTAAGATGCTAGCGATCAAAGAGAAGATGTTTATATTGGAAACCACATGCCTTGCCCTGAAAACCTCAATGGTTACTGCATCCATGGAAAGTGTGAATTCATCTATTCTACTCAGAAGGCTTCTTGTAGGTAAGTCAGTGTCTTCAGATCAGTGGTGAGAAATATTTCCCATCAATGGCCAGTGTTCTATATTAATCAATAAAATGTGGACTAAATATTACCCCAACGTATTGTTTATTTGGAGTAGACAAGTAAAAGATAAAACACCATCATTTGAGGGAAAAACCTGGCAAGTAATATACAAAACCAAGACTATCTATAATAGATGTTTTATTAGGGTTTTGAGATTATGGACTTAATGGTTTTAATATAATGTTATATATTTTTAATATAGAAATAAATATGCCATTATTCCAGCACTATTTTGGATTTTAGGTGCTCTGTTATCAAGAACAGAGAGTGTGTAACTCAAAATATGTTCTAGAATATTAAAAGATTTCTGAAAATTAGGAGATACGGATGAAGAACCAGGTATGAACTGAGAGATGGAAATGGAAAACGTGTAAATAATCAACTGCCTGATTTCAGAGAGGTTTTGTAACCTGTTCAAGGTCAATCAGTTAGATACAGAGCTGGGAAAAATCTAGGTCTCAGATTTCCAGGTATCAACCTCTTGGTCTTAGTGGTTTTATTTGTAGATTTTGGCCAGGGCTGGGTTTATGAACCTGCCACCTTTGGTATTTGGGGCCAGTGCCCTACTCCTTTGAGCCACAGGTGCTGCCCTGGTCTTAGTGTTTTTAGCTGCTCTTTGTCTGCTGGTACCTCTTCTTTCTGCTCCTGCCAGGAGCTATCCTCCTCCTCAGGTTGGTCTAGTTAACCAAATAACGTTTCCATAGACAAGAGGAGATTACTATCATTCTGCTCACTCTTGCCTCCTGGAATTTGGCCAGAAACCCTTTTTCCCTTTCTTAGTACAAACATTAAAACATGGAGAAAATTATGCTTTTCTTTTGTTCTATCAACCTAGAAATCTTTCCAAGAAATAAAGGAAACTTTTGGAAATCCACTGTCCTTGGTCCCTCTCCTTCTTTAGCTCCCTACTAATGTTTTCTTTTTTCCTCCTGCATAAAAAACAAAACATAACAGGGTAAACCGTTAATTGCTAATAGTTCTTTGTTAAACCTTTTGCTTTTTCGTGATTGAGAGTTCTCCTTGTTTTTTGAAGGAGCTAGCTTTCCCCTCCCTCTTTTTCTTACACATTTTTTAAAAAACCCATGGGTGTATGAAAGGGAACAGGCCAAGTTTAAAATCAAATCATACAGGGGATTCCTCATATTTGTCCCACAGTGGCCTACATACCTTGATAGAAGTTCAGATTCTGTTGTCCTCTTGGGAAGGCATATCTTTTCAGCATACTTAATGAGGGATGAAGGAGGATGAGGTTTTCTTGTAATGATGTGATACCAGATCACTTTGTATAATGCTCTTTTACTAATTGACAGTAAGAAGGTTGAATGGTATACTGATTAAAGGCTTTGGAATGTAAGTTACACCGACTTGGCCAATTACTGGCTTTGTGTCCTTTGGAAGTTATTTAAAATTTCTAAGTGTCATTTTCATCACTTCTAAAACTATATTAGTAATAGTACCTATCTCACAGTGGTGTTAAAATTAAATGAGATTACGTATGTAAATTGTTCAGCATAATACCTGGTGGGTAGTATGTACTTAGGCTTACGGTTTAAATCAGTTGCTATTTACTATTATGCTGAGGACTCTTTGTTAACCACTGTCTTCCCAGTACCCACTGTAGGACCTAGTCCAGTCAGTATTTTTTTGAATGACATCTGATGACTTTACCCTTTTCTCCAAGACCAGAGGAGTTTCTTTAATACTACAGAGTCTCTTTCCTGTATACTTACAACTTCTTAAAAAGCAGTTGATTTTTTTTTTATTTTGGTCTAAGTATTCAGACAGCGTCACCAGAATCAGGCCATAACTTTGCTGGAGCCCCTACTAGTAGGCAGTGTGTTTGGGTAGCAGTACATAGGCAGTGATGAAGAACTTTTAGCCACAGTCTTATTACTGGGTTATATCTCCTAGCATTATGGGATCATTCGTTTGTTTAGTGATTGAGTGACTTATCGATTGATTTGTACTAATTTCTGCCTGACAGTAGGGCTTCTCATTTGAGTATGGCAGGGATTCAGGGATCTTGCCTTCAAAAAACATACAGTCTAGTAGAAGGGACTGACAAAGTCTTGAGTAATTTAAGTATGAAAAATGCTGTCATGTACAAATGCACATGAGATGATTCTGGATTTCAGAAAAGGTACTTCAACCTGAAGGCAGGTGGGGGGTTTGGGAAGAAGAGTCAGATCTTACAGGAATGATTAGTATCATCCTAGGAGCACGGCCTGTATTTTAAAGGCAGCGAAGAGCCATTACAGAGTTTTAAGTAGCAGTGATGGGATCAGATCTAAAAGACACTGGTGGCATTGTGGAAAATGGATTAGAAGACTCAAAGTTAGGAGACTTAGTAAGAAGTGAGAGCCTGAAGATGGGTACTTGGATTGCAGAGACATAAAAAGGTGGTTGAAGTCAGAAGCATTGGTGACCAGTGGGGATGAAAATGAGAACATGAGGTTGGTGGAGGTTACTGTGAGAAACTGTGTCAGGAGAGTCCCTCTGGTTTCTGGCTAAGGCATAATTAAGTGGGAAATACTTTTGGAAGAGGGAAGAGATTGGGGGGAACATTTTATATTCAGTTTAACATTCTTGGTCTAAGGCTCCTGTGAGAGATTCACTTAATGGATGTCTAGTAGACTGCTGGATATATTTTGGTTTTAGAATTCCTGAGAGCGATGTGCATTGAAAATGTACATTTGAAGGCTGGGCGGGTGGCTCGCACCCGTAATCCTGACACTCTGGGAGGCTGAGACAGGAGGATTGCTTGAGCTCAGGAGTTTGAGGCCAGCCTGAGCAACAGTGAGACCCCACTGCACATCTGTACCCATGCAGCTGAACATGGCTGTTGTTAAAAAGCACACCATCAGGTTAACTTGTCTCCCTGGTATTTATACCTTTAGATCTCAAAAAGGGCCTTTTGTGCTGCCAGGCAGTTGTCCTGCAGCTTCAGTCCATCCATTCTCTCCACTCTGAGATGATGACTTTATTCCTTCACCTCTCTACTCAGGTTGTCGGTACCTACCATCTTATCCTCACTCTTGGCTAATGATTTTGTTTCCACATCACTGAGAAGACTGAAGCGCTATGGGGAGACCTTCCCCAGACTTTCACTGTCACCTACCAGCAATTCTCCCCCCTTTTCTCTTTATCATATATCTTAATATCAATATATTTTATATATATTTATAATATATGTTTTTTCTTCCATCTTGAAAAATCCCTCTCATTCTCACTCTCACCAGCTACCATCCCATTTCTTTCCTTTCCTTTGTAGAACTTGAAAGAGTTGTGTAAAGTCTGTCTCTACTTCCTTATTTACCATCTCTCTCCAGCCCCCCCCCAATAAGCTTTTGTCTTTAACACCCTCCATTGGGACTGTTCTTGTTGTTAAACTCAGTGGTCATTCTTCAGCTTAAATACTTTTGAATAATCTGTAGCATTGGGCACACTGGCTCACTCTAGCTTGTGTGCTGTGCATCCTACACTTGGTGTCAATATACACTCTCTTGGTTTTCTCTCCCTTGCTGGATGTCCCTGTCGTCTTGGCTGTGTCCTCCTCTGTTCCCTGACCTTTTGATGTTTTAGTACACCAGGGTCCAATCCCAGTCCTCTTTCTTAGTGACTCCACCCAGTAGTCTCAGGGCTTTGCATGACATATGCTGACAAATCCTAATTTACATAAATCCCAGACTGCTCTCCTCAAGTCTGAAGCTCATCCGCCCATATGTCTCCTTTACATTTCCACATGGGTGTCTGACACCTCAGTCTCAGTGGGGCTAACACTGATGTCCTGATCAGTGTCCCCTCCTCTACACCCGCTCCTTCTCAGCTGATGCCAACTCCGTCTTTCCAGTTGCTCAGACGAAACGCCTCTGCTGTGGCTCTGACTTTTCTCTCTCTCCATCAGACCCTGTATCCAGTCAGTTGGGAAATCCTGTTTGCTCTTCTGTTTCAGAATATATCCAGATTTGATTACTTCTCACCATTGTCACTGCTATTCCTGATCCATGCCAACATTTTCTTTCTCTGGGATTATTACAATAGCCTCCTTTAATTGATCCTACAGTTTATGTTCAACCCAGCAGCCAAAGTGAGCCTATCCAAGTAAAAGCCAGTTCATACCATTTTTCTGCTAAAACTCTCCATCTCTAGGTACAGGGGACCCTACAGAGTTGGGTCCCTCCACCTCTCTGTCTTGTTCCCCTCTTCTTTAGTCGGGCTTGCTATTCTTGGGCATGTGGCCATGCGTGGATGCTTTTACCTTAGAGAACTTGACTGGCTCTTCCTTTGCCTGGTGTGCTCTCATCCTTGCTGTCTGCAGGGCAGGAGATTCCCTCACCTCCTTTTTGTCTTTACTAACGTGTCACTTTCCTAGTGATACCTACCCTGACTGCCCTATTTGAAATTGCAGTCCTGTTGGACACTGTGGCTCATGCCTTCAATCTCAGCTCTACAGGAGGCTGAAGTGGGAGGATTATTCAAGGCCAGGAGTTTGAGACCACCTGGGAAACATAGTGAGACACTATTTCTACATAAAATAAGAAAAATGAGCTGGGCCTGGTGGCATACACCTGTAGTCCCAGCTACTCAGAAGGCTGCACCAGGAGGATCTCTTGAGCCTGGGAGTTCAAGGTTGCAGTGAGCTGTAATTGCAACACTCCACTCCAGCCTGGGTGACAGTGAGACCCTGTTTCTTTAAAAAAGAAAAAAAAATTGCAGTCATCCCTTCCTCTGATTTTCCTGTTGCTTGCAATTTCCCTTAACTGTCTTCTTTCTCTGTAGCACAGATTACCTTCTGACATAACCATTTAATTTACTATGTTGATTTTACCCCCTTCTCCTAGTACATGGTAGGCTGACCAGGGATTTTTACTGTTTTGTTCACTGGTATGTCCCATATGCTCACCACAGTAGCTGACCCATAGCAGGTGCTCAGTAAA